CCAACGCGTGAGGCAAGGTGGAGGGGCGGACTTGATGCGGCGGCTGGTGCACGCGGCCAGCGGCTGCGCCCGACCGCGATAGGACCAGGCGCGCGCTGTCAGCGAGGTATCGCGGGGCGTTTGTACTGCTACAGGCAGCTTGGAACGCTTCTATTTCTCCTACTTCCCCTCCCCGCGGAAGCACTACATTGTCACATTACGCAGTTCAGACGCATCCTATGAAAACATTGATTCTGCAGCGCCGCATGCGCACCACGGGCCGAAAGTGTAGCGGCCGCCTGGGCTCCGCGCACCCGCGCGCGCCCACGCACCGCCCGCACCACACAACACACACAGCCGCCCGCTCTCCTCGTCCGGCCCCTGCGGCCCCCCACCAATGTGGGCTTAAAATTCCAAGTCAATACCTGCGATCTCACATTCGGTCGTTCAGAGCCAGGAGGACCTGGTACAATCGCCCGCCTCCTCACAATCTATTACACCGCGTAGCTAAATACGACAAGGCCCGTGTTATCTAAACTCTCACTCCTGCACCATAATGCTCATTAATACATGGTTATCCCACACAACACGAGAACGCTGTCCAGACACGCCTGCCTGCTTCTCGTCGTTACTCCTGTACCGTTAGCCCCCTGTTCTGGCGTGCCAAGCGCACTCAGAGATCGATGTCCCCACGCCGCGCGATGATACGGATAGGTGCATGCTCTTATTCCCACTTCGTACATGGCTCTCGCTGCTTTGGGTAAACCGCCGTTTCTGCCACTCAGCTGCAACTGTAGCTATTCGATAAAGTTGCCTGCAAAACTGTTACAGATGTCACCGCAAATATGTTGTGTCTCTCTTCACGCATAGTCGATGATAGCCAGTAGCACGCGGCGTTCCATACCCACACTCACCAGGCCACGCCAGCGCGGCCTGCCTGGCGTCAGACGTAAACTTACTACCGATTTAAATTCACGCATCAAATCTTGACCAGACTCGGCTAGATAGCATAAATGGTGTATTGGTGATCATATTGTACTTTACCTTCGGTGCTGTGTAACAATCCGCATTTCCATCGTAATTATTTGTGTTTATTATTAAAGCACTAACCTGATTGTCCGACAAAGTTGTCGATCGGTAAGCACAAGCGTCCACACCCATACTTCTATCTATATATACTTTAATCTCCGTCACGGACGTGAATAACTGAAGATATTCTTAATCGATTCTCTCTAAACATATAGGCTCGACATCCCCGCATAACTTCTCTATTATTCACGATTTATGTATTATGTCTCGTCTATCATCTATCTTAGTTTATCTATGATTTCTACCTTAATACTATCTATATTATTACGTAATACATCCCCTTAGTCCCCAGCCTCCCTCGGCATACTCTACCGTGACGTACCTCCGAGCATATTACTAAACTATTACGCGCAGAAGGGCACGCAGACGCATGAATACACGTACGCCGGCCAGATGAGATCACAGTTGCCTCAGGCGGCCGAGCGCGGAAACGAACGCGGCCCGGGAGGACGACAGTACGGACATTGAATTATTTACATTTCAGCAACGTGAGTAACACATGAACGGGGATTTCCGCGCGGCACACCTCTGGCATGCTGACGATTGGAGCGCCACCCTGCTTGGCCAACTGCGAACAGCACGAGAAATATATTTCCGTGGAAGTAACTCTTTTACTGGGTGGTGGCGGTCACGGGTGGTCATGCATGTCGTCCGCTCAAGCGTATGATACATATGCATGTAGTCTTGTACGATTTATGTATATATATATACTATATATTATAGAGTAGTATATATAGTATTAATATATAGTATCATATATTTATATATATACATAGTATGACAGAAGTGACTAATATAGAGATTATGCATGTTATCTCCTATATTATATGTACCTATATTCACGGTACTACCTGATCTCTATTATCACTCGCTGATATATAATATACTATATACTATATATGTGTGTGTGTGTGTGTGTGTGTGTGTGTCGTGTGTGTGTGGTGTGGTGTTGTCGCGTGCGTGCGTGCGTTGCCGTGCGACGTGTGTGCCCATGGCGTGCGCGCCGCGCGTGTGTGTGTACAGACGCGGCCCCTGCACGTACAAGACTACATGCATATTATATACTATAGCAGACATGCATACACGTACGCCACACCAAAAAGGTTATTCCCCGAAATATATTTCTTGCTGTTCGCATTGGAGAGGTGGCGCTCCAATCAGCTCATCATGCAGAGGTGTGGGGAAAATCCCGTTTCATGTTTACTCACGTTGTGAAATGTAAATAATTCAATGTCCGTCTTGTCGGTGTTTCCTAGCACTGTGATCACATGCTTGTCTTACCGATTCACAACTTTGTGGATTAGTTAGTGTATAATAAAACAAATAATTACATGAATTCGATGTACAACAGCACCGAAGGTAAGTAAATATATCACCAATACACCATTTATGCTATCTAGCCGAGTTGTCAAGATTTGACTTAATTTAATCGTTAGTAAGTTTACTCTGACGCGGCTGTGAGTGTGGGTATGAACGCGTCTACTGTACATCGACTATCGTAAAAAAATATTTCGTGACATCTTAAAGTTTTTCAGGGATACTTTATCGAATAGCTACAGTTGCAGCTGATGCAAAAACGCGTTTAAAAACAGCCGAGAGCATGTACAGTAATAAACATCATCCTATCCTATCACCGTCCTGGACATCATCTCTATCCTTGAACCAAACAGCCTAACGTACAGTAACACTAACAGGCACTTGGAACGTTTCATTAACATTAATTAATTACATTATGGTCAATAATTTGAATAAACACGGGCCGTATTTACTACCTGTAATAATTGTAAACGTATTTACAGTCCTCTGGCTCTGAAACACAATTTAATCGCACTATTTCTGTGAATTTAAATGCACAGTGGCGTGGTTGCGCTGAAATCATGTTTTGCATAGGAGCGTCTGAACTGCGTATGTGGGACAATGTTAGTGTTACCAGTAATAGGAGAAATAGAAGCGTTCCAAGTGCCTGTGGATACAAACGCCCCGTACTCGCTGGCAGCGCGATCAAGTCCGCCCCCACCTTGCTCAGGTTGCTTGTTAATGTTAGTGAGTGTATAGCTTATCGAACAGTCTTCGGCGATTTCAACGGACATAGTTGGAGTGTGTGTAGTAATTAAGTGGCATCACCTGCAGGAACACCGGAGTTGGGGCAAGCTGATTGAAAACTGTAAGTTTGGCGAGATGACGTCTGCGCGTGTATTTTCTTACTAGAATTTTTGCTTTCAGCGATACTGCTGCTGCCTGCGTCGCACGATGTCTCGGGACGCTGACTCTGGATTGTACAATTCCTCGGCCTGCACCGAAGAACCCAGCACACCAACGTTGAACCAAGCAATACATTCATCTGTACGGACTCTGGGTCACACACCCATGAGCGTGCTTCAAACGACCACGGACCACGTACCGACCCAGAGTCACACCAAGACGCATACTCTAACTTCAAGTCAAACAGAGGACCCTACAGTAAACTCAAGTCATACCGAGAACTTCACACCAATCCTCGCTAAACCAACCAGTCAGTCCAAACCAATTCTTGTTCCAGGAACTAGGCACCCCATGCCAGCTATGGTACAAATGAGCACGCACTATACACCAACTCCAAGTAAGAAATTAAAACAAGCCAAACTAATCTCGAGTCAAATGAGGGACCCTACACCGACCACAATGCAACCCCAGAACTCTACACCGACCCCAAGTCAACCCCGGGAGCATGTACCAACACTGACTGAAAGGCTCCCGGAGCACACACCCAACCTGTATAAAAAAATGCGAAACCCAACTAGGCACCGTGTGCCAACCATGGCTCACGTTCCCAGACATCGTACACCAATCCCAAATAAAAATACACGAGATCTCGAAGCATTCTTAAATAAACCCCTGAAGCATACACCAACTTTTAGTCAATCCCAAGACCCTACACCAATTTTAAATCAAACACAGGACCCTGTGCCAAGTTTAAGTGAAACCCAGGACCCCACACCAACTGCAATGCAACCCCTGGACCCCACACAAACTGCAATGCAACCCCAGGACCCTACACCAACTGCAATGCAACCCCAGGACCCCACACCAACTGCAATGCAACCCCAGGACCCCACACCAACTGCAATGCAACCCCAGGACCCTACACCAACTGCAATGCAACCCCAGGACCCTACACCAACTGTAATGCAACTCCAGGACCCCACACCAACTATGATTCAATCCCAGGACCCTACACCAACTATGATTCAACCCCAGGAGCCTACACCAACTATGATTCAATCCCATGACCCTACACCAACTGTAATGCAACCCCAGGACCCTACACCAACTATGATTCAATCCCAGGACCCTACACCAACTATGATTCAATCCCAGGACCCTACACCAACTATGATTCAACCCCAGAACCCCACACCAAGTATGATTCAACCCCATGACCCTACACCAACTCTAACTCAAACTTCCCAACAGTATATACCAACCGTCTGTCAAACAACCCATGAACCTACACCAACCCCAAATAAAGTAACAAAACGACTCAAACTAGAGAACCAAACAGCCCAGGATTCTATACTCATCACGAGTCAAGAAACCCAGCACCCCACCCTAACTCTAAACCAAACATGCGAGCATTCAACGCCAGCCCTGAATCGAACACACCTGGAGTCAACTCTTACTCTAAATCAAAAAGCTACACACCCAATTCCAACCCATGATCAACCGACCAAGGAATCTGTACTCGCCCCATGCAATAGAACACTGGTGTCTTCACCAACTCTTGATACAACACTGCAGCACCCTACAGCAGGTGTCCAAGCGACCAGGGTGCCATCACCAAGTGTGGTTTATCCAATCCAGTCCGTCAGATACCGTGATCCTAACCATTGTAACGACTTCCTCTTCAATGACTCTCATGTTCCTATCAATAGGGTGATCCAAAACACGAGTGTACAGTTTGGAAATGCATCGAAGGTGAGAAATGTGATAATGTTCTGTCTGTACCTCTGTTCGTATTTTATTGTATGATCTGTTACGTGTGTGTCTAAGCTCAGTTGTGCAGAAAGCCACTCATCTGGCTGTTTTAATATTAACTGGAATTGCTTCTCTTTATTCATTTTTTGTCATGGCCAAATGATTCAAATGATGAGTGATGGAATGGTAGCAGGAGTGTCATAATATAGTGTCATAACATAGCCAGACTGTCATATTATGACACTCATAACATAGTCAGACTGTCATATTATGACACTCCTGATGTTAGGTGTGCAATACTTTTCTGCCATGCAGTGTGTGAAATCATATGCCACTCCTTTCACTAATGTCCTGTTATATGACTGTGAGGGATTGCCTGTCACATTATTGTCCGATTCGTATCGGAAGACAACTTGTAGAGAGTTTGACCGAATGCCATCTCACAAGTACGACTTACTAGCAACATTCTGTAAAATCCATCGTGCTCTGCTAGAAATACTCCCGTGTACACTATGCTTCTTTGACATTTCAGTGTAGACCGATACAACGTAAATGGCAACGCATACGTAAGTATTGCCGTAAAAGCTAAAATGACCGGTAACGCAACCAGTTAAACAACCATGGATAAGTCAATATGGCATGTTGACATTGTTCACAAAATCAGTTTCATTGTGTATCTGATTGACTTCCGCTGTGAATCTCTCCTGGCAGAGTTTGGTGGCAAAGCAGTTTTGTTCAAAAACGATTGAAATATAACTTGGGACAATCACCTTGAATGAATAAGTAATTGAAACGGATTATCATAGTGACATAATTGTCAGTTTACAACCACAGCACAGCTGCGCGGTCGACTGTCTTACAAATTTAAGCATCGTTTGCTAAAGTGATTATGTCACCGTAAATACTAAAAGTACAACAAATATTTCCACTTTTTCACAAAATGTAAGTGATTCTGTTCACCCTTTATAGTTAAATTGCTGAATTATACTTCCTATTTTACTATATTGTTTGATGTAAACATACACTCGTGACTCATACATAGCAAGCAATTAATGTCAGGATCATATCAAATCGGCCAGGTTTGTTGGATTTTTAACTAGTTGAGAAACAATCTTATCAGGCAAGAATTTGACGATACATTTAGTCCCATTAGTACTTACTTTTAATGTAAAAAAATGGCAACAAAAATTTTACACCATAGAAAATTCCGGACGTAGTCAATTTAAAATAACGCAGTTAACGTCCCGCAAGCATTTATTCGATATATCCATGCTGCAACGTTATCACTACAGACATGGAGATTGAGAAACAACCACAGAAGAATGGTCATAGGTTCCGCTACATGTCCGAGCGTGGCAGTCACGGAGCGCTTGAAGCAGAGAGAGCGAACGAGTCGAATTTCGAAAGGAAACGGGAATATCCAACCGTCAAGGTATGCGAGTTTTCCCCTAACCTGCTCCGAAACCCCTTCCTAGTTAGCAGGAGCCCGTTGTCAGAAACAAAACTAGTCTTAACACTAACATTTTCACATAGACCGTCGACAGCACTTTGGGCCATAATAAAAATATTGTTTGTTTGCCCTCACCCGACCGACCCGCCGGAAAGGGGCTGAATCAAAAATTTTAATTGATCTTTTTTCTTTTTTTCTTTTTTAAAATAAATTGTATCACTTTACATTGTATATAAATCTGTAAGCAATACATTATATGTACCAAGCAAAAGAAACATTCAACATGAAAGGTATCTCCACACAAGCACACCCGAGCATGTAGACACGACGCTGAATTTGTAAGAAGACCCCCGCCCTCAACAAAAGAAAAACAGAAAAGCCGACCTACCTACCCAAACTTCAGCCTGGGTCGATTGAGGGCAAACAAAGATTTTTTTAATTGCGGCCTTGTTTCGTATTTTTAGCTCATCTGACATAGTCAGATGCAGCTTGTAGAATCGCATGAGCGTGCGTCCGGCCGTGCGTCCGTCCGGCCGTGCGTCCGTCAGGCCGTGCGTCAACAGTTGGGCACAAATCTGAACCGCTTGACGTACGGTCACGATATTCGGGACGTCAGGGGGGGATCGTCAAAACGAGTTGGGATGTCGAAGCTGGGGGTCAAAGGTCAAAGGTCAAGAGGTGTAAAAGAAGGAACATTCCCTCCTTAACTTAAGGTATAGGGAGGAAATTCAGCAGACCTGCCAACCCTTACGATTTTTTCGTATTCCTTACAAATTCCATGATGTTTCTACGAATGTATGATCAAACTGAAAAACTTACGATTTTTTACGATTTGTGAAAATTAATGTTTTTTACATTGTGAGCCGAGAAATATCTGGCGATTGTGGGTGCAGCCATATTGGATCACGCGTTAACGTTGTTCTCGCGTGATCTAGAGTTAGTTTCATCATTCATTGCGCGCATAACATACAAACAAAATGGCCGCCTGCTGCAAGAAAAGAAAAGCCTTACTATTTTCATGAATCACAGGTTGGCAGGTCTGATGCAGAATTGCGTCACAAATCTAAACGGCTTGACCTAGGCTTGTGATAGTCGGTGTATAGCATCATCGTAGGAAAAGCCATCACTGTGCCGAAATTGGAGGTCACAGGTCAAAGGTCAATGGGACACAGGGCAGATTTTAGACATTTTCTGAGGACATGGTCTGACGGAGCGATTGAAAAACTTTTTTGTTTCAGCGGTGACCTACCATTTTTATGGCTTTATTGAAAGGACCATGAAATGTACTTTCTGCTGACATGCGAAGAGTAAGTGTCGGATAACCTTTTGACCCTCAAGAGGAGAGTTAAACATTGATTTGTTGACTGTTAACAAAGGACTGAACTGCTTTTGCTATTATTAGAGCCCATACCTGTGTGAATGTGAGGCTACAGTTGCACAGTTTAATTGCAAAGGCAAATGTTTGTTGAACAAGGTTTATGCTCCTTAAATCATATTATTTTCTAAAGCAGTCTGTCTATAGCACCCTGAAGGCTGAATCAGTGAATGCTCGCGTGGGTAGGCAAAAACACGGGGCAGCCCATGGCTGGCACGCTTCTAATCATAATTGTTGCCTGCCAACCTGCAATGCACATGTCTGCAATGCATAGAGATTAGGTGGGTGCGAAAGTGTAGCTGATATATTTGTTCGAATTGGCTACGAAAGTCAAACAAGAATAAAGAAGACTTATGTATAAGACATCTTGCTATGCACAAATGAGTTTATCAGCAGAACACCAGACACCAGATGAGCCCTGTCGCACTGCGGCACTTGGTATGAAGAAATCTGCTACGATTTTTCATTCAGGTAACCACGCAGCATTTTTGTCAACAGTCTAAGAGAATAAGTTAATGTTAAGACTAATGTTAAGACTAATTTTGTTTCTGACAACGGGCCCCAGGGCCGTAGGCTGAGCAAATTCCTAGGGGGGGCAGTGGCGGATCCAGGATTTCAAGGAGGGGGTGAGAAAGAGGTGGGGGTCTGGGGGACCTCCCCCATAACAATTTGAAAATGTAGATCGCAGGAGATGGTGTTTGAGGCACTTTTGAGTACATGTACCGCCATCATTATGACTACGAAAATTCTCTTTTAGTAGAACAATTTATTTTTTTGCTTTTGTTCCAAAATCTAGGTGGGCAGATGCCGCCCTTGCCCCCCCCCCCGCAGGCTACAGCCCTGGATAGATACTACATGCCAAGGCTATAATAAAAATATTGTTTGTTTGCCCTCAATCACCCGACCGACTTGCCAAAAAGGGGCCGACTCAAACATTTTTATTGATCTTTCCCATTCTTTTTTTTTACAAATTGTATCAGTGTACATTATATAAATCTGTACGGAATACATATGTACAAAGCAAAACAAACATTCAACATAAAAGGTATCTCCACACAAGCACACCCGAGCTTGTAGAAATCATGCTGAATTTGTAAAAAGATGGTAAGGTAGGGTCAGGTGAGGGCACCTACCTGGGTCTGGTGAGGGCAAACAAATATTTTTTTAATTGTGGCTTTAGGAGAAGCCATCCTTGCTTGACGTAACATCAGTGTTTCGGTAACGTGGTCGCAGAAATCCTATTTTGTGCGAAAAAGTGCCAAGAATTGCGTGTGCATTTGTGTCACTCCTGAAAAGTGATTTCGAAATAATAGATTGTTGAATTTTTCTTCGTATAGGTATCCGTGGTTGTCCCCATTCACAATTTTGATACGAATTAATCTTCGTGATCCGTGTTCAATTTCAAATCGCGTTAACGTCAAACTGTGATCATTGCATTGAAGAATATATGAGTCGTCCATCCTATATGGTAACCTGTGGTTAATTTGGGACCCCCCCCCCCATAATCTAGAGATTACAGCTAATCTGATTTTTCTCTCTGAAGCTGGTAGGGTTAGGGTTCGGTCACCCCCCCCCCTCCCTCCACCCCGGGCCTCTCAATCTAGAGATTGCAGCTAATCTTATTTTTCTCTCTGAAGCTGGTAGGGTTAGGGCTTAGGCGTTTGTCCGTCACCCCCCGCCACCCCACCCCACCCGGGCCCCTCAAGCTAGAGATTGTACGTAATCTGATTTCTCTCTGTATAGCTTGTAGGGTACGAAGGTCAAGCTAAGATAATAGCGAGGCCTTGTCACCGCCCGACAATCCATACGAGCTCACATTCATCGCTTGGTGTCGAAGATGCACACGAAGAGCAATTGGGAGCCACCGCAGGCCTTTTTAAACAAGAGCAATGACATGACTGCCGTGTAAGTCACCACCTTGATGGCCATTACGGCTAGATGTATGAATGGACAGACAAAAAGAGTGGACTGCGTGGGTGCTGGCTGATGGCAGCGTGGAATGGATGGATGCGTATGGTATGGATGATTGGATGGATGGATGGGATGGATGGATGTGATGGGATCCTGCGGTGAATGGATGGATGAGGGAATGCATGATGCATGCAGCGTGTGGAACATTTGAGGGATGGCTTGGGTGGGTTGATGGGGTGGTGGGAGTGGCAGGACTGGACGGATGGATGCGTTGGTTGATGCGGTGGATAGAATGGCATGGATGATGTTGGATAGTGATGACGATGATGGATGGATGTATGAGATGATGGAATGGATGGATGGATGGATGGATGGATGGATGGATGGATGGATGGATGGATGGATGGATGGATGGATGGTTGGTTGGATAGATGGATGTACTAATGGATGGATGGATTGTAGAAGTGTAATGATGCATCAAACTATTGATTAATTGTAAGAGTTTGACCCAATTGCAATGTATCGATAGCAAAGTAATAAATCTATAATTATCACCTGTAGTTCACTGAATAGTGAATAATCGATGGTTTTTGATACTTGCAACATTAAATCATCTCCCAGCTTCTTGCGCAAATGCACCGTGTTATTTCACATGTGAATATGCTGGCGAACAATTACCAACACTTCTGTCGTTGTTGTGAATAATCCGACTGGTCACTGCATGGTCATTTACTGGTCCACTCAACTAACTCACTCTCTATATGAACGAGTGTGTGAATGAAACGGTCGTGTACCAGTCTCTTAAATATTGTGAACCAAAACCTACATATATAAAAAACATATATAATTATAATACATAATTTCATAACTAAAACAATAGTACCACAATAGTATCAGCAATAGTATTTCAGCCATCTTAATACTAATGAATTGCACCCAATAGTCACCCCTAGTGGTAGGATGGAAAGATGGATGGATGGACGGATGGTTGGGAAAATGAATAGGTGGGAGGATGAATAGATGGATAGGTGGATGAATGGATGGGTAAATGCATAGGTGGATGGATAGAGCACGTGCTCAACTACCACATAATAAACTTGACGATACTTTATATCTTTCTAGGTTTAATGACATCTCAATTGTGATATTGACGTCACATGCTCTGGTGGAAATGTCCCTTAAAATGGACAAACTAGAGCCTGAAAATCCAAAGGTTTCTATATCGTGTACGTATGAAAGTGGTCTCTTACAAAGCAGTTGCAAATAAAGCGTGGTCACACTCACTCGCTAGCAGTGACATGTTGCATTGTGACACACCAACATACCTGTGTTCACACACAGTAGTATCAGGGGTGATTAATGACAAATTATTCATCAAATAATGTAAAAATTATAATGTCGTTAATCACCCCTGGTACAGTGGTAGTATGTAATTCCGTATGCAGTCATAGATGTTATATATCTCGTGTTCTTGGGGCATTAGAATAAAGATTCCACGACTGTTTTACTTGTTACATAATATATTGTTGATATAAACTTGATTAACACACATGCGGTTACAACAGCGTGCAAAGGCGGCGGAAGCAATAAAATAGTGCCACGGCTTTAGTGATAGGGCGAGCCCCGGGGAGACGAAGCCACCCTAGGGGGGTCTGGGGGCATGCCCTCCCCCATAAAAATGTTGAAATTTACAAGGCAAATGGTGGGCTCTGGTGCATTCTGAGCATTGTGATTTAGCACAAAAAAGTATTGATTTTTCACTGTAATTTTAGAAAAATACATGATGATTTGAAAGATTTGTTGCTTAACATAGAATGAAAATATTCAATAATGACCAAAAACTCCAAATTTATTTTTCTCACTTTAACAGTGGAATAATCTTTGGTAAAACTTCCTGAAATACATTCCCATTCAAGACATGCATACAATTGTACTGGTGCTCACAAACGAACTGTTAATATTCGTCATGAAACGCGCTGACCCCGGGCAAAGCATGCTCCCTCAATATAACGCAACGGCATGCTGCCTGCATAGAATGAGGAGTAGACGGGGAGCAGAGGAATGTGTGCCAGAGTTCTGGATCATAAAATTTTATAGCTACAGGTGATCTGCAGGGGCGTGTACAGGATTTGGACCAGGGGGGGTCTAACGCGAAGGGGCGAAATTTTGAAATTAGACCCCCTCAGATGCGTTTTCTGCGCGAGCAGGGGGGGTCCGGACCCCCTGGACCCCCCCCCCCTGTACACGCCCTTGACATGACTTCATCTGACCCTGGTCTCCGCTTATAGGGGCCTAGATTACACGTATATACATGATATATGTACCGGCCAAAAGACGGTATAAATTATTGAAAGATTTTGGTTACGGAAAATTTATGGCCTGAAAAAAGTGCCGCGGCAGTTCCGACGCCCTTGACAGCGTGTATAGTCTAGAGTCCCGCCATAAGTCTCTATACTCGCAGCTAGGGCCTGCATACCTCCCAAATGGCCATTGGTTGATACAAATCTAGTTAATTTTTTAATTAAATTTTAATTAGGGTTAGTGTTAGGGTCACAATTAATGCACCATAAAAGTTTTATTAAAACAGGAGTTTCAGGCACGTGATTTGTATCAACCAATGGGATTTGGGAGGTATGCAGGCCCTAGCTGCGAGCAAGCTGCGAGTAGTCTACTCGCCTCGACTAGTGGCGCCACCTCTTGGGCGTACAAAGAATAAACATTACTTTAACGTTTTGCAATTATCTTACAATAGAGAATCACATGTAGTTGGAAATAGTCATGTGCAGTCACATATAATTGTCCCACATATGAGCAGAAACGCATTTGATTTTATTGAATGTCAGATGATGTATAATGCTTTCATATGCTGCATTGCCCAAGATGTATCAATTTGTCATTGCAGCGACTGAACGAGAAAAGCACCAGGAGTATGTAAAGAAAAGACTTAATGAGTTCAGGGGTTCTGATAGACGCCATGTTGCTGTCATAAAATTCCAGGCGTTTCAGCTGAACGGAGATGGCTCAATAGGCCATGAGCTCTGTTATCCGGCTTACTCTAACAAAGTCGTAAATCAAAGTGAGTTAAAATCGTATATATATTCTAGACGCGTAATGCGCACTACAGAGGTAGAAGTAGTAAAGTATTGCCAGAGACTACAAAGAAGTGAAAGACAAGAAGTAACACAAAACGAATGGTTTACTCAAGAGCAGAATAGGTAAGAATACAGATTCTCTCAGTGCAACTACTGAACAAGATAGAGAGAAGTTTGGCTATAACAAACCCCATATCACGCACTTACAAACTTTCCCGTCGAACGTCACAAAGTAAGAAGCTCTTGAGGAGGGGCGACCCCCACTATTTATACGCCATGCCCGCGCACCTTCTCCCGCATCACCAATCCCACGAATAGCGACACTCCGGCCAACCGGCCTAACTGAATAAGGTATAGGGTAAACGTTTCCACTTCGCCCGGTTATGTGAGCCGATTCCGGTCCTGGTGTCAACACAGCCATACACAAGGTGCCACCTCTGCGGTCATTCTGGAGCTGCTTGTCGCAAACTCCTAGAAATTCGGGGATTTATGGCCGTGGTTCCCCAGCTGGCCGGCACCCCCAGAGCCCTCGCTCGCTTTCATCTTGGGCTCGACCGCTTGCCTTCTCACCACCGTTTCACGCGTTCCTATCGACACCGGTCGCATATTCGTATCGACACCATTTCCCAGACATGAAATTTACTCGCTTACATTATACTTTTAATTCACCTACTGTGTGTTCATGGCGTGAGCCGATTAGCAGTGCTGAAATTGCAAGAGATAAATCCATTATTTTCGAAAAAAATTTACGCAGTTGAATACTTATGGCCACATTTTATCAGATCGAATTTATGTGAATCTACATTATCTACTCTAGGATCCACGCAGCATGGAGAATTGAAGATAATCCGCATTTCAAGGTCATTAGAATCGTGCAGAGGTGGTAAAAGCAGGTTGATTGACCGCGAGTTACTTTTATTTACCAGCAAAATTAAAAAAGGTTCGTACTAAAATGTACATGTTGCGCTGTATCAAATAAAAGATTTCCCGCAGACATTGTCTACGAAGGTCTCGTGAACCGAATCTATTTACGAGTCGTGAGAAAATGTGCTTAGAGGCTATAATGATATAAGGTATTTGTCTACCGCTAGACTACATATATAGATACAATATTCTCGAATGCTCGAATCTGTTTCGCACTTGGTTGGCTCAACTCTATTGTCTCCATTTGGCAAAGCTTTTGGCCATTTTGTCTAGAGGCCAAAATAAAAGGTCCGGCGAGTGAGAAAGCAGTTGGTGTGCAAGATCTTATAGTGTAGTTGTGTTGTTATCTTACACATGGGCACAATCACACATTACCAAGCCTTCCGACTCTGCTATACAGTTTTACTGCGACCAGCAGCATCACACCGCAGCAACGTATTAGCCAGCGAGCCGTGCAGTCGTGATTTGCACAGTCAGTTTTGAAACTGCACGGCCAAAAAAATAATTTTACAATTTTAAAAATTTTAAAATGTTCTGGGGGAGGGCCCCGTACCCCCCAATGAGAGTGGGAACCCCTCTCATACTCCCCCCCCCATGAACGCCTACGGCAGTCTTGGCTGAGACATACAAAAATCGCACTCCCAAATATTTTTTCTGCACTCCTACAATACTCATTCCTGGCTAATACCCTGCACCGCAGTCACGCGCTTTCGTTCTTTACAGGTGTCAATGTTCGATTCTATGACCATGAAGGTTGGGCGAAGGACGTGGAACCTAGTCTGATTCATGAGCAAACAGCCGTCTCTGTTCTAGTGCCGCCTTACAAATGCCAAGATCTGAAAGAGGAAGTGCAGGTAATCACTGATCAGGGGCGGATCCAGAGAGACCGGGTATAAGATGGCGTTGCGCAAAAGATGCGTTGTTCCCCGACCGCCGAGAGCAGTTAAGCCGCGCACTTCCGCGGGACTGGGCGCACGCGACCGCGGGGTGTTGCATATGTAGCATCTCGCGCTGCCCGCTATACGAATTTGCGCGCCGAAGGAAGGCGGGCGCGCGAATCCGTATAGCGGGAAGCGTAAATCGCGCAGTTTTCGTCACACCTACACCGGCTCGGCTACGGCGGCCTTGGGTGGGGGCATTTGCTGCTGCTGCTGCTTTGTTGCTCCAGGGGCGCGCTGCGCGGCAGGGGCGAGTATTTCTTGCTGCTGCTGCATGGACCAGTATTTCTTGCTGCTGCTGTTTTGCCAGTATCTATGATTAGCTACGTGTAAAAACTGGCATGGCCACGCCACCACGTGCTCGCAGTATTTGGTGCTGCTGCTGGTTTGCCACACCAGCCACGCCAGCCACGCCAGCGCAGGTGCTCACACGATGTGCCGTCGCCACGGACAGCGCGGGTTCAGGATGTTGGTAAAAACCTTGCACGTACGCAGCCAGGCGCCGCCACGGCGGCGGCGCTTTTGGAGATAGCATCTAGACCGTGCCCGCCCACGTGGAGCGCCGTACAACACTTCGTAAAAAGCTCTGTGATAGACATAACGCTATACTCGGCAGTAGCGCACGTCATCGCGTAGCGGCCAATGAGCGAGCGCGTCATCGCTGATTGACAGCATTTCTTGGGGTTTCTTGTAGGAGCCACTACGTCTTAGCCATGAGGCGCGCCACCCCAAAAAAAGTTTAGGGGCCGTTTGGAGATGGCCTCAAGCCGTCCATCCCGAAATGTCGGTTGGATTGCGCCCAGTTTTCGCGGAGTGCGTTTTCAGACCCCTGTCTCAGATATCTCTCTAAGTGGACAAAAAGGGGGCGGCGTATTCGCGTTAGGGCGCGGCTTCGCCGCGAGCTGTGCGCTGCACGCAAAAACCGGGCCCGCAAGTCCGTCTAGGCTAACGCTCCATTAGGAGTGTTCCCAACTTTGATATCATTAATGATTAATGATTAATGATTGATAATATTAACCCTAACCCTAACCTAAATGACATTAAACCACAAACTAATATATGACCATATAATATATAGATATGTTATTATGACCATTAATGACATTAAAGTTGGGAACACTGCTTATGGAGTATCACCCCGGATCTAGGGGGTGTCCAGGGGGTCCGGACCCCCCCTTTCAAAAATCCTGGATCTGCCCCTGCTGATGCACTCACAGTCTACCCTCGGTCCAACAAACTGATTGGTTGAGGCCACAATTAAAAGAATATTTGTTTTCCCTCACCCAACCCAGGCTGAAAAGTTGGGGTAGGTAGGTAGGCTTTTTTTCGTGGGGGTCTTTACAAATTCAGCATGGTGTCTACATGCTCGGGTGTGCTTGTGTGGAGATACCTTTTATGTTGAATGTTTGTTTTGCTTGGTACATATAATGTATTACCTACAGATTTATATAATGTACAGTGATACAATTTGTAAAAAAGAAAAGAAAAAAAGATCAATAAAATTGTTGGAGTCGGCCCCTTTTTGGCGGGTCGGTCGGGCGAGGGCAAACAAACAATATTTTTATTGTGGCCTGAGTAAAGAAGTTGGTTGGGCTTTTGCAGGTGCATATCCGACTGGTACGTCAGCACACCTCTATGCAGGATGAGGAACTGTGTGGTGAGGACGTCAGTGAGCCTGTGACGATGAAATACCAGCCAGTCGACGTTGATGTCGGCGTCGGTAAGATGGAAGTTACTCCTTGCCAAACCCGCATAGCTATACATGTCGCACTGCTATACATAGCTATACAATATGCAACCGAGCGAAATACTCGGGAAGGTTTTTGCTGTACACGTAGTATACATACATACGTACATATGTGGCTGCGTGCGTGCGTGTGTGCGTGCGTGTATAGAGGTAAAACACATGGACATCCATTCAGATATAGAGAAAAATGTGCATGTAAAAATATAATGAGGTGATAATTTAAAAAATCGTTACCGCGTTTTTACCGATTTTCCACTTCAAATTTTGGCATAAATAAAAACAAATATATATATAGATATATATATATCTTTATATATATGTTCTTAAGCTTATGTCATACCTTTATTATTCACTTTTGGTACTGAAATCGGTTTATAGCTATTGCTGTAAATTGTATTCAAACATGGCATATATCGCTCATTCCGCACAATATTGTCAGCAAACAATCACTTGTTTCATTAGTTTGTAATGCGTCTGCGGTCTAGTAAGACATGTATTCACCTGCGAACACAGTGCGATTGTGTACATGTATGCGGTCTTTGGTTACACGCATTATAGTGGGGCAGATATGTGAAAAAAATGTTCACATCTGGCAGAAAGGGTGAAATTTTGTATACAGGGGTATTTTGGGGCGCTGATTTCAAAAATTGCCGGATCCAAGAGATCTGACCAATGGATCGGCCGCCATCTTGAATTCCAATATGGCCACCATGACGAAACATAACATTACTATCTTGGGTTCTAAATGACATGTGGCGCTGAAATTTAGTACACAAGGGCATTTCGACATGCAGGTTTAATAATGAATTAATTTGAAATGTCTGAAAAACCATATGGCAGCCATTTGAATTCCAATATGGCCACCATGACGAAACATTGAACCATTACTATCTTGGGTTCTAAATGACTTGCGGCGCTGAAATTTGGTACACAAGAGCATTTTGACATGCTGACTTCAATAATGGATTGATTGACATGTCTGTCAAACCATATGGCAGCCATCTTAAATTTCAGTATGGCCGACATGACGAAATGTTGAACAATACTATCTACTACACACACGCGCGCACACACACGTGCACACACACACACATACACGCACGACGCCGCGCACACGCACGTGCGCACACACACACACACACAAGACACACACACACAAGCACACATACAGTATGCACACACACACACATGTGCACACACATGTGCACACACGCGCGCGCACAGACACATACAGTACGCACGCGCGCGTTCGCATGACTTATATTTGCCGCCGACTTTTTTCTCTCCATTGATTAGTGTTGCTAGATTGGACAAGTTTCAAAGACGGTGGCAAACTGATGTCCGCACACAGAACAATTGCTTAGTGTCAGCAAAATCGTTTGCATCAGATCTCAATAATTACAATCAGTTCATTTGAAAAACTGGGAAATCCGTTCGCGAAGACAGTAAAGACCTGTATGTGCTTAATTGACACCAAAGTCATCATGCCTGATGAAGTGATAGCCACAGTGTGATCCGTGGAGGACACTGGCAAAACACGATATGACAGATTTGTAAGCAGCGAATCAAGGATCCTTCCGTCAATTTCTATGGTACCATTTCAAAGAACAACCTGCCACTGTTCAAATCGAAGCCTAAGAACACACATGGAAAGTCTCAGGCGAAGATTACAAGTATGAAAAGTAATGTGGCGCTGTTCTCACGATGTACATTTCTTGCCAAGCAAGAGATGGTGATCTTGATAACATTCTTTGAACATGAGTGTCATGGTGGCCCCAGCATTGGCTGAAGATATAATACAATGCGGCCATCGACCGGAAAAGCTGAACTTTGCCGTGTTGGAAGCTCCACGTCCTCATGATATGCCGAAAGAAGTAGTTAGCATTTTCGATGGGCTGCTTAGTCACCAGTTGGAGCCTACGAAGTGCAACAGTGTGGTCAGGAACATTTGGTGACTATGCACAGAAACAGTTCCTTCCGTACATTGCCCGAAAATAAAACGAGGAAATAGTGTGGGACACCTACAGAACGGACAGTCTCAAAGGAAGCACCAGGCTTGGTCGTGGCACTGGCATACCACTCCATGTGACTGAACAGACATCCGTACCACGAAACTGGAGCAGCTTCCTTCGTGTAGATTCCAACAAAAAGACTATCCAGTTTCCTTGCAGATGCTCTGCAAACGATGGCTGTTTTCAGATGGGAAATACTAACAACCAATGAAGAAGAGTTAAATCAAAGCCTCATTCTGATGTTTCTCAAATTGAACATGTACGCATGAGAGGCTGATTCACGCATGTTACTACATGCTTGGCATGCATATAGGCGGGGGCACAGAATATAGTAATCATGCAACGGAACGACGATGTGGTGTGTTGGCGATCGCGATGGCAAGCGTTATGGACGGCTGTGCAATGTGGTTAGAATTTGGACATGAAACAATTTCAGGCACATTGCTGCTCACACTATTGCGACTCACATTGGCCCTGAACGCTCATGGGCCTTTTGTTCCTGCACGCTGTTCCGGATGCGATACTGTTTTGCCATATCTGGATTGGCAAAAGGACCGCGTGGAACATATGGAATTCCATGCCTAACTTGAAGGAGGCTCTTCAATCATCTTCCACATGCACCAGCTGAAGTAACAAATGATGACATGAACAACATAGAGGGGTCCTCGTTGTTCTGTACAGTAGAACTTCGCTTCTGAAGAAAGTGAACAAAGCAGGAAGCAGCTGTTTTGCTCAGGGAAATCGCAATTGGAAAACATTCCACCGACAAAGGAGTCACTGCGTCAACATGTGAAGAGGGCAGTCTTTCAGGCTGGTCACATCTGGGACAGTCTCAAATTGCAAACCCAGAGCTGCCTTCACCTGCAGATTGGGGATTGGGAAAAATGCTGATGATGGCTGGCGTCCATTTTGGAAATAATGGCAGAGGCGTCAAAGGGTGCGAGAGCTGATCAAGTGCAATGTAAGAAACGGCGTGTGCTGCGAAATTGCAAATGTTCCGCGGCTAATCTACCATGCACAGAACTGTGTTTTTGCTCCCGGACAATGCTTCCCAGATGACAACAGGAGAAGTAAAATGGATGGAAACGTCTTGCGGCATGTTACAGCTTTCAATTGGTGAGGAAAATATTTTTGGAAAAGCTTTTGCTATCTATTAACCATTGAACTCAGCATATAAAAAATTCCCTAAGTTTCAAGTTTCAGTGCTTACGTGATTTAGAACCTAAGATTTTCAGCATTTCGTCATGTCGGCATACTGGATTTAAGATGGCTGCCATATGGTTTGTCAGCCATGTCAAATCAATTCATTATTGAACTCAGCATGGCAAAATGCTCTTTGTGTACCAAATTTCAGCGCCGCAGGTCATTTGGAACCCAAGATAGTAATGTTCAATGTTTCGTCATGTCGGCCATACTGGAATTCAAAATGGCTGCCATATGGTTTGACAGACATGTCCAAATCAATCCATTATTGAAGTCACATGTCAAAATGCTCCTTGGTACCAAATTTCAGCGCCGCAAGTCATTTAGAACCCAAGACAGTAATGTTCAGTTTTTCTTTATGGTGGCCATATTGGAATTCAAAATGGCTGCCATATGGTTTGTCAGACATTTGCAAATTAATTCATTATTAAACCCTGCATGTCGAAATGCCCTGTGTACTAAATTTCAGCGCCACATGTCATTTAGAACCCAAGATAGTAATGTTATGTTTCGTCATGGTGGCCATATTGGAATTCAAGATGGCGGCCGATCCAGTGGTCAGACCTCTGGATCCGGCAATTTTCGAACTCAGCATGTCAAAATACCCCTGTATGCAAAATTTCACACTTTCTGCCGGATGTGAACATTTTGACCTATTTTTAGCTCATCTGACGAAGTCAGATGCAGCTTGTAGAATCGCACGATTGTCCGTCCGTGCGTGCGTGCGTCCGGCCGTCCGACGTCGGTCCGTCGTCAACAGTTGGGCACAAATCGTAACCCCTCGACGTACGGTCAACGATATTCGCGACGTCGAGGGGGATCGTCAAAACGAGTTGGGATTGTCGAAGCTGGGGGTCAAAGGTCAAAGGTCAAGAGGTGTAAAAGAAGGGGAGAAAATTCTCCTTAACTTAAGGTATAGGGAGAAAATGCAGAATTGCGGCACAAATCTAAATGGCTCGACCTAGGCTCGTGGTAGTTGGTGTATAGCATCATGGTAGAAAAGCCATCACTGTGCCGACAATTGGAGGTCAGCAGGTCAAAGGTCAATGGGCACAGGGCAGATTTTTAGACATTTTCTGAGGACATGGTCTGACGGAGCGTTGAAAAACTTTTTTGTTTCAGCGGTGACCTAGCATTTTTGGCTTTATTGAAAGGACATAAATCTACTTCTGCCGACATGCGCGAGTAAAGTGTCAGATAACCTTTGACCCTCAGAGGAGGGTAAAACATGGATTTGTTTACCTGTCTGTTAGAAAGAATTGGACTGCCGGGTTTGCTAGTAGAATCTATACATGCCTGGATGTATGAGAGCTACAATGTCACAGTGAAATTTCAAAAGCTAAATTTGGTTGAAGAAGGTTATCTCCTTAAATCGTATATTTCTATGGCATTCTGTACTGTCAGTATGTTACATGTAACGTATGCTACTGCAGCTGCATGTGGTGGTGTTACTGTGTAGTTTTTGCCTGCGTTAATTTGGTTAGCAGGTGGCAGCTCCCTATGCAGCCTGTAGGCGTTGCGTAGGTAATGAGATGAGTGCTAACCTATCTGTCTGGCAAATAGTTGTTGCTACTACGTTACGATGGGAGCTTCCATCTTTAATCATGAAGACAACTTAAACCGTAACGCGCCATCTCGTGGGCAACTCAAACGACCAAACAACATTCCTTTGAGAAGGTTCCTGGATACCATCCCATTGCATTCCACTGTTACGGCGTGTATGTAACACATTGGAGCTAACAGGGTTTACTAAGAACA